ATTTTAATATTAAAAATGTCGATAACAACGAAAAAAGTTTACAACATGTTTGAACGTCGTCAAGCAATTCCGGTCATTTATGTTCGTGGTACACATTATGATGTTGGCTATGATGTGGTAAGAAAGTGAAATTATTAGAGAAAAAGTAGTTTGAAAATATGATTTAGTGATGAAGTGCTTTTTTTAAAATATCTAAATCCAAAAGTGCTTAAAATTTAAAGGGAACTTAAAATGAATGTTCAAGTAGGTAATTAAAAAAAATCTAGGTGACTGAAGTAATTATTTCTTAGTGTCAACACAGTGGTACTTAAAGGCTACTTTGGAAATTAATAATTTTCAACTTGAAAGCATCATTCCTTTGCAAATTTCAGATAAATCAAACATATTCAGAATTTTTTTATTTACATACATGTAAATAATTCCTTTCGAGTTTTTTCTTCATTGTCTTCTCAAAGTCTCGGTCAAAGTCACTTTCAAACCAAAACGGTCGATGCGTTAGGTCAAATTTTCTTCTTTTCTAACATCTTTGGTTCTGTTCTACTCATCCGGTTTTTTTACAACTTTTATGTCTGTATCAATATTTTAAAAGCAAGGTCATTGGTTTTGGTGGCTCGTCTTAATATTTATGCGAATATTTTGCATATTAACGGAACACGTGATTGTGTGTTTTATTTCAGAATTTCAAGCGTGTCAGTAAAAGCAAAACTCGCTGGGCTAAGCTTTGCAATAAATAAATTTCTGTTTACATTGTGGGACAATGTACAGCACGCTTATTTAATAAACACAAATCAATCCTTTAAATTACGTTCGTATTCCTATTAATTGAATTATGACTCAAAACTATTAGCACGTTCAAAGCGTGGGAAAATATCGGTCATTCAACCACTTGCCAAAAATATTATAAGGTTCTTTGGCTTCTGCAAACGTAACAACAAAAAAAATTATAAGCAGTGTAAATAATGAATAAAACTTTGAACTTAAATATTTTTCAAAGTCAAGTTGAATTAACTGTAAGCAGTTACTATGAACATTTTGTGAAAAATTACGTCACAATCTGTCTGAACAATTTAGGTACAAAAAAAACCAGACAAATCAAAGTCAAGATTGCTTGAATAATTAATAGTTATATAGCCAATAGAATCAAGTGTTGTTGAACGATCAATGAAGTGTGAATATTTACAGAAGTTGCTTTTCAATTGTTAAATCGTATCAAATACATTCTGGATAATCGATTGGCTAATAGGAATTATTAAGAACCGCATAAATAAATTAATTACATAACTGTGGTTAGTGAAGCATTTCATCCAAAGATCAATAAATAATTAAATAGCATTTTAATGGTTTCGTAATAGCAGTTTTAGTTCTTTATTTAGAAACATTACTGACATTTCTTTTCCTTTGTATTCAGGGAAGAACTTTTGCTTCGCTAATTCGTGAATTTGTGAATGTCTTCAAGCCATTGAATGAAGCTTTCATTCCATTGTACAACTCACCAGAAGGACGTAAGGAAAATAATGAGAATTATTAATCATTTCAGTTCTAACTTTTGTTTACTTCTCATAGAAAGAGTTTATAAAGAAACACTTGACTCTGTAAATAAATCTTTCCCGCAATATGTCCGCGAACTTCAGGGTATTGCTGATGGATCAAAAGTGGAATTTTACAAGGTAAAGCATGACAAAAAATTTCAAATAATTATTGAGATGTTGATCATTTCTACATAGATTTATAATTGAGAATCTCAAAACCTCATTGTTGCTCTACTTACTAAAAGAAATTCTATTTAATTAAGAAGGACGTCAACAATATATGCTAGAATCGTTTTCATAAGTAATTACCGCCACAGCATACTGAATAAATTTTAATAATCCTCT